CATGCATTAGAATCACTCCAATCTTAACCAAAAATGCAATCTCAAGCAAGAAAATGTGAGTGAAAGTGAATCTTGAGATCTAATGTGTGTGGACATCAATTAGGAGGTCCAAAATTTCTATCTAGCCTAGCAACACCCTCTATTAACATCCTCACTCAAGAAACTAGATGTTGAGCTCTTAATGCAGCTTTTTTGGCCTTACTGGAAACCTTTGGTGGGTCACCAAAGTTCACCATCGGAGCTCCCTCAGTGCTCGATTGTACCTTATCTAAACTAGCCATTACTGTGATGTAAGCTTTAGTGCTCTCTCCTGTGAGCCACCGGACAATTTTGGTGAGTGTTAGCGCCTAACTTGCATGAAAACACCCTCTCTCTAAAGATAACCCAATGTCAAGCTCTAGTCGATCTCTAGAGGACTCTGGTGCCCCTATTTGAAATCTCCCGCATGCCCAAACTCATTGTGATCAAACTCGGGTGCTCAGCTCTCTCGTGCCACCAGAAGGTAAGGTCATTTTTGTTGTTTCCACTATTGGCTAGGTCACCGCTAAAAGCTCAGGTGACTAGAGATCCGGTGGGAGTAAAAATACTCCACCGAGCTCCTTTTCTCAAACATTTTCAAATCACTAACTCCAATAGGTCTCCACGGGATGACCAACACCTTTAGCACTGAGTTAGCATTTCACAAACATTTTCAAAGGTTTTTCACTTGATCACCTCGTCATTCGATCTTAATGCATACGCAAAGTTGGATCACTCAAGTGGCACTATATAACTGAATTTGCAAACTCGAATTGTCCCTCTTTATAGTATGATTAACTATCCTATCAATCCAACCATATTAACTTCTCTAATCACCTCATGGCCAGTGAAAGACAAAGCCCTATGCATAGACCTTTGCCTTTACTTTTGTCTTCCACTCCATTGTTTCTCATCCTTGCTTCCATCTCTTCACCTTGTTTAGCTCTTGCATCATATGATCATGCCATCTCCACCATGACCATCATGTAGCTCCAAGTTTTGCTTGTGGACTATACTTAACCTTTCATCTCACATGGAATCATTAGTCGACAAATGTTGTCATTAGTTACCGAAACCCAAATAGACTTTCAACTTTGTAGTTGGACTTCTCTAGATGATCCAAGTGCAAAAGATGCATATCCATGCACATAGAGGTGAAGGTATATGCATTATAGTGGGTGCATACACACCCACAACCAAAAGGAAATTTTAGATATTAACCTCATCTGCACCCCCTTGTCCCAACACCATGCACCCATGAAGCCAGCCAGCTTATGTCTACGACAGATAACAAGTTCTAGACTCTAGAGGCAAGGCAATGAGCCATATTGCAGCCTAACACGTCCATGCAACGCTAGGGGTGAGCCACCAAACTCATTTGTAGATATTTCCTGTCCTGCTCGGGGTCCTCACATTGCTCTTGCCTCTCGGATAAGCATGTAAAGTTGTTTTAACCTGTAGGTTTCACCTATTCGTCCCTTCTAGACGACATCAAGGTCCTTCGTACAATGTGATGGAGCTACCACAAGGGCCACAACAATAGTTTAGAGCATTGATATGCCATCATCATCAATAAGGAAGTCACTTGAGGCATTAGAAGAAAATGAGGACTCATCAAAGATGACATGACATGAAATAATAACTCGACAAGTAGCAAGGTCGAGGCAATGCGAGACTTTATGCGGTGTCGACTAACTGAGAAACATGCATGTGGTAGATCATGGTAATATATGAGGGGTCATGGCAGCATGGTTTAGATAGCAAAGATAACTGAACACACACAACTGAGCACAATCAGTTTTTTGCGATAAAGAAGCTCATAAGGAATGGCGTTATGGATAGATGAAGATGACCGCCTGTTAAGAAGGTATCTGGTTATTGCGAGTGTCTTGGCCCAGTAAGTAGTTGGAATGTGGGCATGGATGATCAAGGTGTGTCTAATATTGTTAAGAGTGCGTATAATGTGTTCAACCTTGACATTTTGAGAGGATGTGTATGGGAAGGATAGGGAAAGTTGGGTGCCATGAGATGCAAGGAAGGCTTTTGTGGCATGTTTGACGAATTCAGCGCCCTTGTCGATCAAGATACATTTGAGTGGTAGGCTAAGTTGGGTCTAAATGTAATTGCAAAGATCAACAATATGTTGATGAATTATCGATGAACTTCGAATTTGCACCTAAGAGGAAAGGTCCATTAAAAATGAGTGAAGTCATCAATGATCACAAAATAATATAAGTTGCCACATATGATGGCAATAGATGATATCCAGATATCACAATGAACGAACTCAAAAGGTAAGCGCATGGCATATAACTAGAAAAAGGTAAACACACATGCTTGCTTAGCTAACTTGCATGATAGACAAAGTGTATGATTTAGAGCTTGTAATGGCTATCACTTTGTGAAGGGTATTGACGAAAGCATAGATGAGGATTCCCTAGGTGGTGATGCCAAAGTGTGGTAAAGATGACAAGATTGCCAAGGGAAAGGTGTAGAGGTGGCCACCACTATTGCAATGAAGAATCACACACATGGGTGACCTTCATATATGTAGCCAAGGTGTCTTAATATACAACACTACAACACATATACGGCATGTGTACAACACATGGCATGTGTAAAATTTATGGATTGAGATATACATGAAATGTTATGAGAGAGAAAGATTTACTGGGGGTGTGGTGTGGAGGGGTAGGGGAGAGGTATACATTTTTAGGATATTCCAACAAGTACCTCATCATCATATATCTTCTTCCATACAGAAATGATGAGGCTAAATAGATGAGAAAAATCAAGAGCATTCTTGTATATAGTCTTAATGTGGTAAATTTCCTAAAGCACCATAAAAATGTCATCTGGATAAGATTAAATACAAAAACAATTAGTGCTCTTAAGTGATCTTGTTGTAGTAATTATTGCACAAAATTATTTCCCAAAAATTTTGTGCAGAGAAAACACTAAATTTTGTGGCGTTATTATAAACTTAGACAATATAAATGTTAACAATAGAGCTTATCAAGAAACATAACCTTAACATTATATCATTCAATTAACATGGTCAAATCTTCTATAAAAATAAACCCACAATTTTCAACCAACAAGTACCTCATTGTCATATACTACTTGTCTAAAAAATGATGTCATTTTAGATTTGGTTTGGATCAATTTTTCGTAATTTTACTAAGTTTATAGAAAATATTATTAGCATTTATGACATCAAATAAATAGACTATAAAATTTTATCCCATGATTAATTTAGTTATACTTATTTGGTATCATAAATATTAGTACTTTTTATAGATTTAGCGAGAAATATATTCTTCTTGAGCTTTTCGGCTGATGGTTTTTGCGGCTGATAAGCCAGTTAATGCTGTTTTGTTGTGAGAGAAAAACATTGTACCATGGCTAATAAGCCGGGCTGATAAGTATCTTATTTGCCCTTCCACCTTTGAAACCGGTCAAACCATTTGAAATCGACTTCACGCTATACTCAGGCCCCAAGTTTGGTGCTACACCTCGTTGTCACGAAATGTTTGTCGGCAAAAAAGAATACTTGGTGACCATCCAATAAGACGGTCTATTTGCTTGCTTGGGTGTTTTGGAGCTCATAGGTTTGGACTGGGTCTATTTACTCTGTCCAAATCCAAACTTTTTTTGAACCGGGGATTTTCATTACTTATCAGCTGACAAATCCGCAGCTACGATTACAGCAATGTGCTCAGGAATGGAACTAGAAATTAGCTCATTTCCTTCTACACAATCATACCCCAAAGAAGCCAACTCATGGGCCACCCTATTACAATCTCTACCCTGGAACACACACTCGAAATGAATAAAGATACTTCAGTTGAAGCCAGAGCTTGTTTGATCAGCAGGGCGTCGGTCTCCAGTCAGCTTACCAATGCCAAGGTTTAGTGCAGTCTGAATTCCTTGTAAACACGCGATCACCTCAGCTTGGAAGGGACTTAGGAGATGATTGATCCTTCCTCTACCAGTCATCGCTACATTTGGAAGCTTCTAAATATGTTTTCATGAGTTTTAAATATTTTATTTAGGTTCGTCATATCCCAATCTATCTCTAAGAATTTTTTCAGTAACTTGTAGATGCTTCTAGACATTTTCTGTGGTTTCACCTTATTACTTCCTCTATTCTAAGTTAAAAGACGTTTTAGATCTTCTAGATACGCAATTTTTGACTATGCACTTGGAAATACACTAGAGTATATAGTAAAATCAATGTATCAAAAAAACAAGAATCTCTTATAATTTGAAAAAGGAGGAAGTACTTACAAGATTCTTTTAACTAGAAAATGAGATAATTTGTACGGTTTTAAGAATTTAGGTGGTACTTGTCTACGTTCGATAAGAAAAATCCGACTACAACTAATGTTCAGCAAGGTAAAATAAACTTTTTCCATTAGCATATATACAGCTTCTAATAAATTGCAAGTCAGGTTAGTCTAAAGCAGCTGAGATCATTAATCTAGCACGATAAATTTAAGTAACAAGGCGTAATACGAGGGATAACCTCCAACACGATAATCTTTTTTCAGAGCCTCGAATCCTGAATCCTGACCATCACAGACGAAGAAAATCAATGCAGCCGCGACCTCAGAGGTGGCCGCACAGGCAAAGCACAGGAGAAACGAAAACAAAGGCGAGCCAGACCGCCAGTGCACCCCAGCCAGGAATGATCAGTGCTCCAGTACAATCAGGCAGCCATCAGTCCACCACAGTGGCATGCCAAACATTCGGCATAAACAAAAGGGCCGAGCAAATGCAATAAACAACAGCCTGACAAAACGTTACGGATCACAAAAATGACAGTTTCACAAGTTTCATGCAGCAAAATAAATTAGAATCCATGCCCTAGAGATCACTGAACTCAAAAGGCAATCCTGATAAAATAGTAAGTTCCCAGGCACAGCATAGAACGGAACCAGCAAACTGCCTGACAACCTTAACAGACACACCAGTGACGCTCACCCTTGCTTTTCATCCCTTTCACGGTTCCACTGCTCAATCTTAGCCCTGCGCTCCTCACTGCTCTCCCTGACAGGGCTCCTCGCCCGCCTGGGAGGGGGGCTGCCACCATGCCTGCGCCTCCCTCCATCGTCATACCTTTCATGCCTGCTGCCTCCACCCCTGCGCCCACCGCCGCCACCATGGTAATCATCACGGCCACGGCCTCTGCCACCACCGGCGCCACGGTAATCATCTCGGTCCCGGCGCTCCCTCCTGTGATGTGGACTAGGGCTACGGCTCCTTCCCCTGTACGGCCTCTTGTAATGCCCAAACATTTTTTTCCTCAGATCCCTACCAATCTTCTTCACATGCATGAAATTGCAATATCCACCGCGATTGCAGCTGTTCTCCTCATACTGCCGGCAGGTCGCTTCGCGGAAATCAGTCACAGGGGAGAAGTCAACAACAATTGGTCGGCCAGAGTAAAAACGGCCCTGAAGGGCTGTATGAGCAGCAGCTGCCTGATCTTCCTCCCTGAACTGGACGTAGACATTACCAATCATGTGATCAGCAAGGTTATCGCAGATATTGAGATTCTCGATCTCACCAAACTTGCTTAATTCCTCATGGATATCCTCGTAAAAATCTTCAAAATGCTCCTGCATCTTGTGGGGATCAATTGGCTGGCCTTGAGCATCAACCCCAGGGGTGATCATGTCAGGGCGCTGATACATGTTAACGAGAACAAGAGTTGGTGATGTGGTTGGCCTGTTATGGAGACGTGAGCAACGATCTCCATGACGACAAGCCCCAATCTTGAAGTAAAATGGGCAGTTGACCCTATCTTTCTCTGTACCAAATATTGAAGCCAAGTGTTCCGCCATGATTCAAAATAAGTCCAACTGACCAGAAGCCTGCAAAGAAAGTATTAGATCATTAATATCTCTCTAAATTAAGAGGACTGCTTCCTGATACACGAAAGCCCCCATAATTTAATTGGTGAACCACAAGAAAATTTGAGTTAAGAGTACTGATGGACAATGCGGTTACACAATATCAGCATCCAGAATATTACCAAACTTGATGCATTGTATTCGTTTTACAACTATGTGGATGCACTGTACTTGTTTATTTGTTTTAAAATATTCCCAAAACATTAGCAATTTAGCATACAGCATATTTACCCATTTGAACATTGAGGTTAACTGCTCAAAAGGCAGCAGCTACTACTGCAGTCCCAAGACATAGCAGACCTCAAGTTCTTGCAAAACAACACTAGCCAAACCTCTTCTTATGACCTAAGCTGCACACTAACTCAAATTGTTAATATCAGAATGACGAGAGTATATAAGTAAATGACACAGGAGAATATAATATTTCTCCAGAGCAAAGCATTATCGGATATCTGCAGTCTATTAGCCTAAACTCACTCCTTCAAATAGTTAACACCAAAGGTACAACCCCTGCAACTGCAAAAAGACGGTATACTGATAGTCCCCCACTAAGTGTGTATTGTCCCTGTCCCTGCAACTGCATCGAGACCAACAAGGCAAAAAGAAAGAAAAGAAAAGAAAAGATAGAAAGAGCAACTTTTCGCCTTGCAAAAGAGCAGCTCCTTCTCAGGCAGGCCTTGTTATATCCATCTGGCAAAGAATTTTATTTCAGCAATTTTAAAACCCTAATCTGCACACCGTTTAAGATCATTAAAATATATAATCAAGTAAACAACCAAGGAAAGAAATAAAGCATATTACTGCTTAGAATACTAATGTAAAAATAAAACAGCACTTAAAAATGTGTAGAAGTAAATTAAAGTACATGGTTGCTGTACAAAAATATAACCATGATACAAGATATGACCTAGAACCCTGCTAGGTGCTCACTAAAGCAGTATTCTAAAATGCACAGAGCTGCACCTAACCCCCTAATCGCTAATTAGGCAGGTAAAGTAGTGTTGGAATCATATCTATGAGGCAGTCAGCCATAAGCAAGAGCTGCTGATTGCAAGATGCTAGCACAGTTATGAAACAAACTAAGTGATAGCTTCAACGATAAGTTTTGTTCATAAAAAACATACAACCTTGGTTTATGAAACATCAATGGCTGATGGTCAATGCTATCGACATCAAAATTAGTTTCCCTGATGCTGATTAATATGTTTGATTGGCAGCAGTATGGCGCAGCAGACTTGTACAGGCAAATCGGATAGGAGAAAACAAGCTATTACTTCAAAGATGAACAGAAATAGGCTGGCAGACCGGTAACAGGCAAGATACATTACACCTTAGGATTTATTTACAGCAAAAGGTAGATCTTCAAATGAGCTTCTCACTCAACAAAGTAAGCTATTTCCCAATCATTATCCCCCAGTCAAGCCAGCGAGGTAAATCAATACACTTGCCCCCTTGTGGCCTTGGTTAAGGTTTGAACACAAACACAGCAGGCGCGGCCCAGTAAAGGACATGGGTGTATACATACACTACACCAGATAATTTTTTGAAACATAATCGAATTAGTAGGCATAACACATGTATACTCCTGTAATTAGATCAGATCCGAATACAAATAGGTTAAGCTAGGGTTTGGATGCTCAGTTTCGCGTAGCAGGAAGGGAAGAGAAGGGGTGGGCGTACTCGTCGCCGGCGAAGGGCCCGAAGAAGACCTGGAGAAGAGCGGCGGCGGCGGTCGTCCAGTCGTCGCCACGAGAGAGAGCTTCGCACGCGGGGGGAACGGGAGAAGAAGAGGGGTTCCAAGAAAAGGTCAGGACGGGCTGCTTCTTTCTCGAAATTGATATGGGCCTCAAGGCGGACCTGGGTGCTGTTTTGGTCTGATCCATCATCATGTCTAGGGCTCTAGGCCCAGGCGCGGCTCTTCTTTCTCCATGACAGAGTCTGAGTGGAGTGGACCACCGTGTGATTCAGATCGTGTGTAATCAACCGAATATGCTCAGCACGTCATACAACCTCGCATGATGCAAGATGAATTCCACCAGCAGATTAAATTCTTCAGCTGAAGTTATCCAAATTATTCTGCCTTGGTTCACTGAGATAGTTTCTTATCAGCATCCCCAGCTGATTCAGCTATTTCCTTATGATGCTTTGACCCCATTGAAAATATTGCGAAGATTTGGTAGGCGTGAACATGCTGATACCATAAACCTAAACCCATCGGAAGTACGGAAAGCAGTAGGATTCTTTTTGTCGAACCTCAAAAGATTTTTGTTTCTCGAAGGTATGATATGATATATCTGAGCCCCTCCTTTTTCCAACCAAAATGATGACTGATCAGTCTGCTACTCTGCTTTCTTAAACGTCTTTGCTGTGCAATAATGTTTATCTATTGGTTCAGTCACCACACTTTGTAACGAGATATTTCTCACCATCCATTACTTCTTGTGCCTTGTCGAAGAATATGCAAGCGCACCGTCCTTGTGTAAGCATACAACAGACTCAAAGAGAGTTAAAAGCAGAAGAACAGTACAAGAGGCTTTTACTGACATAATACTTGGGTTCATGATATTAGGGAAGGAGTCCTGGAGTGGAGGATCAACACCCTTTGGTTAGTTACCTTCTGCATCGGGTCGCCATTTCTCCATGGGGTCCATAGAATTTCAGCCATGGAAGGAAATATGAAGACTTGGGCTCCACCTCGCTGCAGTCTCATTTTTTATTTGATTGGCCTCCCTATATCGGTGCTGGACTGCTGGACTGCTGACCATTTAACTCGGAGGGGACTTGAGCACCCTAAGAAATGCCCAAGAGGAGAATGTGCAGCACCTTCACAAATCACACTACATGTGTGTTCTCAAACAAGTTTGGCATTGAGTTCTGTCCCAGGTTGGTCTGCAGCAACAAACTCCACAACCAGTTGACTACAAATTCATTGAATAGTGGCGACAGACTATGCACTAAATGAAAACTAGTACTCCCTCCGAATATAAGGCATGCACGTATTAAAATTCAAACTTTGTTATCTTTGACTAGCAATTAGCCTAATTATATCAAAAGTTTTTATTACAAGAGCAGTTACATTAGATTCGAGGGGAGCTCACCTAATGTTAGTGCTATTTTGCAGGACATTGGGATCAAGTCAGTGTATGCAAAAGGCCGGCTTTCGAAGCATTTGTCCATATGATTTTGTTGGTAGGTGGCTAATCGAAGTTCTTTTTAAATTTTTGCATTCTTCTCTCACTTTTTTTTCCTGGAGAACTGGACCTTTCCGTAACGGGCTTGTACGAGTCTTCTTGGACTTCTCTTTTCTTCTTATAGAGCAAGTCCAACAATTGTCGTAACAACCAACGCGTCAGAAGCTTCTCTTAGCTGGAGGGAAGCGAGAGCTGAGCTTGTGGCTCAATTCGTTGATCAGCTCGCGAATGCCAAGAGTGTGAATGCAAGTGCTGGCCTATCAAAAGAGGAGTGAGGAAGGCAGTATAAGAAATACTATGAAAGACACATGGATAGAGAGTAAGAAAATATGTGTTAGAATGAGTGATGAATTAAGCAGTTGTACAAACAAGCTCTTATCTCAACTGCTCCCTCCGTTCCAAATTATAAGTCGCTTTGACTTTTTTTGGGTACATCCATTTTGCTATGTATCTAGATATAACATATGTCTAGATACATATTAAAATCTAAATACCAAAAAAAAGTCAAAGCGAATTATAATTAAAATGGGGGAGTATTAAACTTGCTCTTATTATATTGTGGTGCAGGTCTCTTGCGAACGCAAACATGAAGATAATATCCCTACAGACCTTGCGCTGATCCCAATCTATCTAGCGTCAGCAAGGTTGACATGATGCGTCGTCTATTGCATCACTCACACCTAAATGCCATGTTCGTTTGGCTGATAAGCCATGACTAAAAATGCTGTTAGCTGATTTGTTGTGAGAGAAAAATAAATATTATTTATTGGCTAAAAAAATAAAGCTTATAAACCAAACAAACAGGGCGTTGCTTTCAACGCCCAATCACACGACAAGTACACTGCTCGTTTTCATGAGGGTAGGAACTCGCTAGGAATATCCTGTGATCTCACCGATTGAAAACAACAAATACTTCTTCATTTTTACCTACTGGGCTTCTGGCGACGCATAGCATTCTCAGGTACTACATAAATGCTTTCATTTCTGCTCTACCATTGATTCACCTCAGTGCTCGGACTACTCCTAGGCGATTACATGCACTTGCCTAATAGAACAGGCCAGGAGCAGTTGGTGAACCATCATATTAACAATGATCAGAAAAAGAAGAACGCTGTAGCTTCCTCTGTAGGCTGTAGGCTTCCAGAATACATCGAGTGAACTGTTCAACACCGTTTCCGTTTGACCTTACATATGGATGACGTACTAGCGGGCACAAGAACCTTCAAATTCAGTGACGCTGTATCGCGGACACCACTGGTTCAGTGACAACTGACAACACGTATGTTAGAACAAATGACACGTGTTAGGTTCTGACTTCGGAATGCCCATCAAAATGTTAATTAACAAAGCTAAAAGGACGTCATTGAGTCCTATTTGGTGGCAAATTTGGCTGCATAGTCACGGAATAGTCTTTGCGTAGCTTAGAATTTGGAGATCTGACCACGAGCTCTCCTAAATTGTCAAGCCTGCTGACATGCAGCGTGAATGTGTGATCTCCTCAGATGCTCGCCCTATTCGTTTGGCTTATAAGCTGTATATTTTTAGCCAGCGAATAGTATTTTCTCTCAAAAAATCATAATGGATTTTCTAAAATCAATCAACAGGGCAACTGTGTTTCAAGATTTTCTCCGCTAGGCTTTTCAATGTTAGTTCAAACCACCCCGTCATCTGTTGTCGGAGCAGAAAGTGCATTCGTTCTGAAACTCTAGTGAAACAATCTGACAAATATATTAGCTGCTCTGATTCGATTCGTACTCCATCATAGGGATATGGATATCTATCAAATCCCCTGCTCCATCTCACCTGGCCATGCTCGGTCACGTCACACAATTTTGAGTTGTGATTTGTTAAATAAAGTAAGTCATAGTCATTATATCATCAGCAGATTACGTCCCCGTGCCATTCAATTATAAGAGTATCCACTTGTCATTTCATTCTCTGAACGGGTAGCGGATGCATCCGAAACTATCCTTGTCGTTCCGTTTTGCCTGACAGTGCATCAAGCATATTTCCTCTTTCCATCTACCCTAAAGCTCACTTTTAGGTAAATTTTTTTCTTCTCTACTAAAAAAAGAGCTTACTTTTTTAAGTTCGAACCAAAAATATCAGAAGCAAAATAATCAGGCAACTGATGTTACGATCCATTCATTCACCTACCAGGATGTTGTGATTCAGAGGAAAAGACTAGGTGTTGTGTCTGAGCTTCTAGAGGGAGTTCAGAAGAGCGGCAATCGTGCATGGTCTACGTCCCCAGCTTCTAGTAGTTTAGATTTACATTGACATTTCTCTGTGTCTGTGGATGTGGAAACCTGCACTATTCGATTGCTGTCTTTTTCTCCTTGTATATCTCCCCGTTCCTCTGTGTCATTCGTTTCCTCGTGCTTCTCACGTTGAAGCTGCCTTAGTATGACTTGAATAATAACCCAACGTGAGCTCATCATGATATCTCCAGTGACGAATCAAGAGCGTGACAGCATGGTAAATTGGTAATCTAGCTAGCTAGCTTTAAATTGTCACTCTTCCTGACAGCATAGTAGCTTACTTCCGTACTTGTCACTTGCGATGCTTCTTCTTTCCCCCCAATCTAAGTACCGTATAATTAAGCGCTAGCTAAAGCGTCGTCAAATCCGCTTTATATTATATACTATACAGCTCTACAAAAATGGCAGGGACCAATGGGCGCCACACACACGTTCCTGTCGTAGTGACACACACACACGGGGATGCATGCGCATCGTGTTACCTGCATTCGTTAACCATGTGCGTTAGTGCTAAGCTTGTATGTTAAGTTAGGACAAGAAAGGGGTTAAAGTACAAGCCGCAGGGCGCTGCCCATGTGGGCGTTCAAGCTACGTGGCACAACGGGAATCACATTCGACCGGACACATGACTAGTACGCCAATAACATGCATGATTTATGTGTCATGTGTGTAGGGCACAGCCCTACAGGAGTTTTATGCATGGGTTCAGTGAACGAACGGCGTGTGGCCGGCGTCTAGTACAGACAGTACGTCCCTTCGGACGCAGAACGGACAGGGAAGAGAAGGAGACACAGGCCAATCAGAAGCGGCCTCAGAAGATGCGCGCGCGGATCAGGCGTGCAGATCCATGGGATTGCAACGCATAAACAAACCGCACACGCGAGCGAGCGCGCAGATGCACGCTGCATGTCGGAGAGGAGCAGCGATACGGTGTGCACCGCGGCAGACAGGAGGCATCGGCGGCCGATGGAGCCCCGGCCGGCACCCGGCGGCGCGTGAAACTAAATAAAAACGACTGACTCTGTCCGGTGAGCTCGTGTTCATGGTCGCTGCTGCGCTGACACCGCGTGGTATTTGTAAACGGCTGCTAGCTAGACGATGATCACCTCTGATCGGGGGTGGTGGTGTTGCATTGGGGCAAGTAGCCGCAGCGTGTCCGCTTGCTCGCCGACAGCGCCTCGTCAGTGGCGCGTGTGCGCGCGCTCCTGTGTGCTCTACTGCTCTGCCCATATCGTCGATCCCGGCCGGCCGTCAGCAACGTGCGGTCGACCATGATTGGGTGGCTTTGACTTGCACGTTACCTGGGAGGCTGGGACACGTATCATCTCCAAATCCTCTGCCATATGAGACAGCATGAAGTTTCCTCTCCCTTAGTATATCTTAATATATATAAGAGTCGATACAAGAATGGCGCGCGGCATGCAAGGGGTATAGTAGCTTTTTTTATGTCTCGAGGGCTAGTAGCTTAAGCAGAAGCTTACGGTTGCAGATCAGTCATGAGTCTCGAGACACTGAAGGCAGCTGCAGAGACATAATAAAGGAGAGGTTTACACTGGGTTGGAGCTTAGCCTAAAGCCTGTACCCGGGCAAATGCAAGAGATCCAGCACTACCGTAACGACAGTTCATGTGATCCATCGCCATCGGTGGCCTGAACCCGAAGGGGCCAATGTAATCATGAAAAGGAGGATTGTCGTTATGATTACAGAAAACAAAAGACCATCATCATGAATGTAGTAATGGGTCATGCCTTGAAAAAAAATTGTCTTCTTGCGATGCAGGTTTCATCGAATCTTATTACAATCGTCGTCAGCCCACCACAAACAGAAAACACAAAGAGCGCGGATTACGTACGTGGAGATGACTCGGATAACTAGTGGGCGTGTGGTCTCACTGGCGGCTGTCATCTGTGGCGGCCTGCCTGGCCATACATACCATTATACCAATGCAATGAGCCAATGACCGTGCGTCCAAGTACAACAAGTAGCCAGTGTAGCCTCTCTTCTCCACTGCAGCCAGGGAGGGACGGAGGACCACCGACCACGACCGTGCGCGAATCTTTCCACTCTACTAGACTACCTGCACTGCAGTATCGCTGCGCTCTACGCGGTATGCATACCGCTGTTTGTTTGGCTACTACTACTCCTACCGTCGCCTGTCGCGGGCGAGCTCGCTGCCAAGTAGTAGATGTAGAGTACATAAACGCAGTTGATGCGGAGCACATGGCGTATTTGGTGCGGTGGGCCGCGGGCAGGGACGCGTTTGGTGGCCGGACGCGGCTCCGTGCGCTTCTTGCTCGGTTGCTCCAGGGTTTTCGACTGGTAGAGAAATGTCAATTCGTCGACCCGTCGCTCCGACCGTCACCGGCTGTTCGCCCGGAGGCCGTACGCATCGGAAGCGACCTCAAGAGCGACTGTGCGGTCGGTCGCGCGACAAGACCGGGTTTTGCTGCCTGCCTGAGAAACCCTGCCATGGAAAATTCCTCTGTGCCTGCCACTGTAAAAAGGTACTCCTACTACTGTAGGGACCAGGTGGATGCATCTTGCCTCGTCACGCCACTCGGCCACTGTGAAAGGTAGTAGAGTCTGACAAGTATGCCCTTTTCGCCTTTTCCCTGTCCGAGGAAGAAGGGCCCGCGTACCGTACCGTACTGTGCTTTTGCACTCCATCCACCTCGGACTCGAAGATCTTTTGCACCGGTACTGTAGATCCGATTGCCGCGGGGATTTGGCTGGCTGTGCCCAATTTGGTCTGTGCAACTTCCTTCCAGCCGGAACCGTACACGAGCCACGCAAATGCCACGAGCCGAGAGGTTCGATGTCTCCGCTGCCGCGTGCTTCGCTATACTCCCTGCGACCGAAACTTTACGGCCTTTTCCAGTTCGCGCTCATCACTGCTTACGCACTTTGTAGCATCGTTTTACGTTCTTTTTTTTTAGAACGGAATTGAAATAGTACCACAACCACGTTTGTCGCACGCAAGAGTCCAACGGAGCAGGGAAGTACCGTGGAGTAGTACGTCCTTTCTTCCTGGCAGAGTATTAGCCTGTTGCTTGCTCGTATAAGACATAGCTTATCAACCAACGAATAATATTTTTCTCTCAAACCAACCAAACCAACGAATGAACTTTCAACCATAGCTTATAAGCCAAACCAGTCCAAACAAACATGGTAAAATAAAGGCAACCAAGAATAGCATCCTCCCTGATTTTTTAATCGCATCGCCTTCCATTTGGCACCAGTAATCTTTAGGACCAACCTTTAACTGTTTCTACTACGGAGTAGTAGCAGTGAAAATCATGCAGCTAAATGATAAGTGTATTTTGAAGCAACACTCTTTTTTTTTCTGAAACTTTGGAACAACAACACCTTAGTAGGAGTATACTAGGAACATAAAATAGTTGGGAGTTAGCTTGGTATATAGTTAATCCAGGATTTCAAGTTTGCATACTATTTATGCTGTCACCTTCGTTAATTTTACCCAAAAGGTGCAGTCTTGACATGTCATCTCTGATGGCATCAAAAGCTAGTGACGTCCACACATACATACCACTTCAGCAACCGGCCATGAATCGAGCCAGCCGAGTACAGCCGTACAGGACAAATGCCGTATACGGGCGGCCATGAACCGTATGGACTATGGAGTAGTAGTAGTATACCAGGTGATGTACGCAAATGGTCCAGGCCACACAGGAAATGCGAAACTGGACAGCTCATCCTCATTAAAATCTGAAACGGAAACGACTGTACAGATGCGGCAGACGACGTCCCTCTGTCGACTCTCGCTCGTCGTCCGTATTCACATGATGGATGGAAAACGCATCACACACGCTACCAGACAAGCTATTACTGCTAGATAAATTTTGCGATTAGAATTCTCATCATTCTTTTTTTTTCCTTCCCCTAAGTAAAGAAAGGAAAAAAAATTCAAAGTCCTAGGCCAACGCATCCGCCGCGATGTGATGTAATACACTCGATCCAACGGCCAGGACTAAAGCACGACGCCATCATTTCTGGAAGGGGGGAAAGAAAAAGGAAGGAAGAAATACGCTGATAGACTTGATTAAAATTAGAGCCAGAGGGCACCGGCCTTCTTGAGGATGGGCACGAGCTCGCCGGAGATGTGGACGGCCATGAGCCGGTCAAGCCCGCCCAGGAGCTTCCCCCCGACGAACACAGCGGGCAGCGCGACGGCCTCGGCGGCGGCGCCGGCCGGGACGACCCCGGCGAGCGCGGACTCGTCGGCGACCTCGTGCACGGCCGGGTTCACGCCGAGCCCCTGCAGCAGCAGCTTCACCACGTGGCTCAGGCAGCACCCTCGCCGCCCCACCACCAGCACCGGGCTCTCCGCCACGGCCCTTCCGACTTCCGCCTTGCCGCCGTCGTCGTCCCCGGCCGCGGCGTCGGGCCGGGCGCTCTCTCCGCCGCCTCCGCCGCAACAGGCTCCGCGATGGTCAGCACCGCCGGCTCCGGCTTCACGGCGACGACGGCCGCCTCCTCAGCCGCCGGCGGCATCAGCCACGGCCGGGCGCTGCTGTAGGGGATGGCCTGGTACATTACTTCCCGACGACGTGCGTCCGCGTTTGACGTTCCGGCCGCCGAGTCTTCGTCCTCCTCCCTCCCCTAACTTTTTTTTTTCCGCGCGGGCGTGGAACGTGGTTCGTGTGGGTCGCGAACTCGCGATGGTTGGGTTAGGGCGCTGGTGTGTGTAATGGCGCGGGACGCGGGGGATTAAAAACATACAGGGGAGGTGAGGTGGGCTGGTGACGTCACTGTGTGGCCCCACCGCGACGCGGGGTACCTTTCGACCGGTTCGCGCGGACCGAGTGACTGCTGCACGCGAGTCTCGGGCTCGGGGAGGGGGAGGACCGGAGGAGTGGCGTTGGCGTGGAGGGGCGTCAGCCGCGGCTCGGGGACGCCGGCTCCGTGACGACAGCTGCTACGGAGGCGGACGCGGACGCGGACCCGCGCGCGTTGCGGTTGGACTCATGATGGGGGCGGGCCAGGCGGCCGGTCCTGATCCTGTGCGAGCGCGAGCGGAAGAAGCCTGCGGGGCGGCGAACAGCGGGCATGATTTTTTTTTTCTGTGGGTGGGCACGCCGCTCCTTCGGTTTTCAAATTACAAGTCATTTTGGTTTTCCTTTTAAACTTCTCTAACTTTTTTAATAACCTTCTCTAACTTAGTTTATAGAAAAATATATCAATATCCATAGCAACAAACTAGTTTCATTCTGCCAAACGAACATGGCCTTAAAAAAAAAAGAACCAAACCGCTTAGATCAACGGCGAAACCGTATTCTATGACCCTCCAGTTTCGAAGGGAAGCGGTCAACAGACAAATCCGGGCCCGCTGGCTGTAGTAGCTGTAGCTTGGGTGGTCGTCGGGCGGCCACCATTTCGCGTGTGTGATGGCGTCGGCAGCGGCGGCGTCCGTAATCCGAGACGTCACGCGGGTTTGGCGTAGTAGTACGTTTTTTTTACCAGCACATGTCGGGCCCCGATTAAACTAGCGCCGGTCGAGGTGGAGCTGCGCGTCCCGATCAGCGGGCCGGGCCAGCTTGGGAGACGGACGGCGCACGGCCTGTCGATCGGTCAGACTGTGCGTACGTGTGCTGCCGCTTGCCGCCGGTGGAGAATACGATCGCTCTTGCGTGGCGGGGGCAGCGCATGTGGATCACGTATGACGTCGCTTTTATTGGCCCCGTACGGTGCTGCTTTTTTTTTACAACAGTACGGTGCTGCTTTGGTTGCGACCTTGGACAGGGCCAGATGAGAGGACACCATGCATGACGCACCTGGAGAACCTTCTGATCGATATACTATCTCTTGTACTCGCTGCTCTTGTTTCTGTACTCCACTTACGTCTCTTTGCGTGCAGAACCAGTATTAGCCGGTCTTCAATAACAATATCTAAAATACGAGACTCATTCGATATTTAGTTACCTCTACAGACATAGGGTCCGAATACTTATTTAGTATCTTCTTCAACAATAAGGCTAAAAAGATAATCTTTTCTACAAATAAGTTTTCGAAAGAGATGATACTTATATTTGCGTTATGCCTCCCAGGTAACCCAAAATATATCTCCCATATAAGTATTCTATTGGATATCGATTTTGGATCTCCTTGCTACTCATTTTGAGTTTGGATGCTCATATAAGACTTTTGTTGGAGACCGTCTTACCTCTGCTTGCTATAAATTAAAACCAATAGGTCTCTAAACCGTGACAACTCAAGATTTGTTTTTAGCTTCAATAACAAAACTGGGCTATATATGGAGAACATCACCGGTGCTACCATGGCTACGCAGTTAGTTACCGTGCTTGCTACCAACACAGGTAGCATATATATTCAGATCTCCATCTAAAAATTGTTTTTAAATATTAATTGATAAATCAAGTAATAAGCGTCTACTATCAAGCGAAATTTTGAGTTTTAACAAAAATTTGCGCAATGAGAGAAAAAAAAAGAGAGAAAATCAACATGCCATTGTTTGCGGACGTTTAGTTCTAAATCTTCATGGACAGTCCTTTAACGGAATACAGGTGTCACAAAAAGCCTTCAAAGACTTACGGCATACTTGGATCTTCTAAATATTATTATAAAAAATCAACAAAACCAATGAAAATGAGATGGAAAGACATTCTTATGTGGATAACAACAACAATCCAACCAACTAGATTTAATAATTCTACTATTTACCCTAATTAACCCTTGTCGGGTTTATAAACCTGGGATCCCCAATAAACCCGCTTCCCTACAAAACTTGGCCCAGCAGGCGACGCAGCGACAGCGCGCGTCTGAGCCGGCCCAGATACACAATGACAGGCCGAGACCACGATCCGGTCCCCGACCGGCACCTTCAGCCAGGAGACCTGGTCGGAGCCCTGACCGGAAGGCCTGGCCGAGGTGGGACCGTAGTCCGACTCCGACCCCGTTCCTCCAACCGAGGATATGCCGGACCTTTGCTCGCCTCTCTTTCCCGACCGAAACGGTCGAGGCCGATTGGGAATGACCGACCAGGACGCCTGCTCGGTGTGGGACCGGAGAGCAAGCGGAGCAGATAAGGTAAGACGCTTCAAGTCAACCGTAATACCGAGGACCGTACCCTACCATGCTCTGCGCATCTACAGAACGGTGCCCTCAGACCATGTCAGACGGACACTATACAGCCTGCCAGACGCGGCAGAGCACAAACAGTATTGTGGGCGCCGTCGTTTGCCGTCCCCAGCGAACAACATGCACACCTGCCAGTCATGAACAAGCCGTCGGCGAACACTGCATGCGACATGCCGTACAAAGAGTCATGAACGATAATGTGGGCGATGGTGTGCATGCTGGTCGACGTGAGCAACAAGACTAGATAGCACACATACACACTCTCTCCCTTTTTGTCTTTAACTTGTAAGGCCATCCCCTTCATCTATAAAAGAGGATGCGCTCTCTCCTAAAAGGACATGGCTCGATGGCTCAACAACTATAGAACTCGACAGCTACACAGTCTACACGCTCTCAACAACTAATAAGCTCGGACACATAGAGTATATGCTCCAATACTTAGCGCACGTTTGAGCATCCGTCACTCTCTTCCACTCGGTTCCGAGTCCGACCGGGCCTCTAACACCCCTCTTCTCATTACTTACTCGTTTGTAACCCCACAACAAACTTCAAGCACCCGGGCTCAGGAATAAAGTCACCGACCGATTAAAACTGGATGTAGGACATGTTGCCTGAACCAGTATAAATTCTGTGTCATCGCGTGCTAGGCCACATCCGATCACAGCACACGGCAAAGCTACAAGTATTTACTTGTCGGCCACATTTCGCACCGACAGTTGGCGCCATCTATGAGGAGAGACGTCGTGTGTTCACACTTTTGGTCATCGGATGGCCCACCTTTCCACCATCTTCGGCATGGCGGGCTCGAGCGATACGATTCGCTTTGGCTCGCTGGAGTTTCCCATGCTTCGACTTGCTGGGATGTGGGCTCCTCCTGTCTTCGTGCCACTCTAGACCTTCCCCTTCGGGAGTCTGGATTTTGTCGCCGACCAGCTCGACGTACTCCGCCTTCGCGAGGAGGCGCTCGCCCCGGCGTCCACTGGAGGAGGAGCGCCCTCCACCGGCCTCGGGTCACTCGATGACCTCAACGTCGAGACACCCGCGCTTCGCCTTGAGCCCATGTTGGGCTCAAACCCCAGGGTGAGTGATGTACATATTGTTCTTTACTCACTGTTTAACACCTTCCGCCAACTCTTTGGAGGAACCCCGTTGTCCCCACCATGACCGCCGTGCAATCGGTCCACCTATGGCTTCGTGTCCCCCGTGGACGCGTGCACATGGGGGCTTCGAAGGATGCTGACACCGCCCCCTCTCACGTCCGAGTTTGTGGGGATCGCGAGCTACGCTCCCGCCTCCTTCCACGACCTCGTCGATGACGAGGTTGAAAGCGATGGCTCTAGCATCAGCGATGTCAGGGCACCTGGCCACCCTCTGTCCCAAGAGTGCGCTATGGCATATGCCACGGGATTGCCACCAGAGGTGGTGGAGTCTCTACAGACTCACACCCCTCTAGACCCCCATGCGTAGGCCCTAGCGTGTGCATAGGAGCACGGCGAGGAGTTACGACAAAGGCGACAGAGCCAGCCGCCACCTGCGTCGGCGCGCCCAGCGCATCATGCTACGCCACATGCGCGTAACCTAGTGAGCGGTGCTCGAGGTCATGCCCGTCTAGGTCCAGCGTAACATCCTAGATGGAGGGGATGATCCCCCTTACTTCGCCTTGGTAAGGGCGAGATCGAACTCCATCGATAGTCCTCTCTCCCTGAGTAGGTGCCAAAGATTCACCTCCTCCTTGTCGTGAAGGACTATCCGGGCCTTTCCTAGCTCACTGGGGCAAGGCCACACCAACTCGCGGGTCACCCCCGACCCGCCGGAAAATCCAGCCATCGTAGTATCAAGCGACGACTGAATCATCACCAACTCCTAGGACTCCACGACTCGCTGGAAGCTACTCTACCTCTAGCCTGGCCATGGCCCCTCCAGCCCCCTCCAGCTTTGACCAGGCGGGCGAACTGTGTGCTCCTCTGCTGGGCGAGACAGGGAGCCCAGCTTCCTCCTCTTCTCCTCCGCAACCGGTGGGGAGGGACCACAAGAGTCACCCCGACCCAGCCTCTACCGACACCATGGGGATCGCCGCCATCACGGCCGCCTCCGTGATCATGATCGGTCGGGAAGATGCAACCCCCATTAAGGAAGGTCGCGCCGCCACCAACCCGCTTCCCCTTCGCTCGTCGCAACCCGCCGCAAACTGGGTCTGCACTCTTCTCACACGGGTTCCTGGCCACTACAAAAAAGGCACAAGCGTAGGTTAGTCACACTAAAAAAACTCAACAATGAGAACAAAGGGAAGCATGAATACATACCTAGACGAAAGCGGTAGAACCTTGAAGTCCCGACCGGCTGACGACGAGCCGACCGGACGAGGATCGCTCGGGGATCGTGACCCATGCCCCCTTAGATCAACCAAGGGTGGGGGTGACCCGGTGTAAGGTCAAGAT